TAGACGAAAGAATAGAAGAAGAACAAGAAAATAAGAGAGAGAGAGAGAGAGAGAGAGTACGTATGAAAGTTCGAAGCTTTTTAATTTGAAGATCTTTGCATCTTCCTGATCACCTTCCGTTGATTGCGTCGCCACTCGTCAAAGACTCGTTAGCGTTTAAGTGTAGCCGTGTGCCTGAAAATTGATTCATTTTTGCGCGCGTTCAACCGATCCTCGATAACGATACACGGCACGCGGCTGAAACTTTTCGTCCACGTGGGGAGTGTATTTCGAACTTTTCAATTGTTATCCGTACGACTCGTCGTAGAAAATTCTTGTCCTGCGAGAAACGGGAGGAATAATATCGAAAATGTATCAACATTGTTTCATTTTATATATATATATATATATATATATATTTTTTTTTTTTTTAATTTTCGTAGTTAAACGAGTCAGATTTTCAGTTCTAATCTCATCGAGAAAGAAGTTCTGGCAACTTCGTCCCGCCGTTTCTCGCAAGGCATTTGTAAGTAGCCCGTTAGATCGAAGATCGGTAACCTTTTTTTTTAAATTGATAGCGTTCATTATGATTTCATTCATCGAACACTGTGCGGGACGCAGAAAACGGACGTCGATTCGTTAGTTGCCGATCTCTTTAGATGTTAGCTGGCGTGAATTCGACGTCTAATTGTTAAGCGAAAAAAGAAAAAAGGAAAAAAAAAAAAAGAAAAAAAGATAAAAAAGTTATCTCGCAAGATTGTTTTATCGTCGACAATTATAAATGAGTTTGAAGCGCGACGTCCCGATCTGGTGAATATATTTGAAATGTAAATTGAACTTGATTGAATATACAATGGAAACGGCGAGGATAAGAGTCGAGGTGAAACTGCACATTGCGTATTTGCATTATTTTCAGATCACGTCTGAATGTTTCTTTTCCGTTCGACATATCACGTGGAACAAGAGCAAACGATGGCTGTGCCTTTATGCTTAATATATTATAGTTTAGAATTTTCTTTTGGACTGAGATTTATGTGCAGGATATCTTTATTCCGTCTCTTGTCCTCGTTCCGAATATAAATGCAAAAATGCATTAGTCGAATATATACTTTATATATTTATTAAGGAACAGAGAGAGAGAGAGAGAGAGAGAGACGATTCAAATATATTCACCGATAGATTTGGGACTTGGAACACTGTGTCGAGATACGATGTTAACTCTTTGAGAGATTCAATTTTCATTAGAGACATTTGGTCTTTTTTGTTTTTTTTTTTAACGTTGAAAGATATTGTATAATTTGTATTAAGTTTATATAAGGAGAAGATTTTCCCGTATTTTTATATAATTTAAGAAAGAGAAATATACGTATGTAAGAGAAAGATAGTAGGATATGCGTATATACTGATCCTCAAAGAGTTTGCATAGGGGAAAAAGATGAAATGAGTGAGTGAGTATGCGTGGGAGGAAAAAAGAAATAATAAAAGAAACCTACGACGAATCGGAGAATTCGTATGCATCGTGAAGGTGACCGAGAAGGTGAATTCAATTAGGAATCGTATGGTGGAAACAAAAGAGCTATATTACCAACCCAAAGATGCACAACATCATAGAGAGCCGGACAATTCGATAGAACTCATGTCACTCTAATTATATTTCTTGTTATATTATATACATATATATATATATATATATATATACACACACACATATATATATATATATCATATTTTCCAAAAACGAATTATATATAATTCAATAAAAAAGAAGACACTCTCGTTTGATACTTTGCGAGATCTTGGAATTATTCCTGCCATCTAATATGTATTGGTGTTTATATAATTAATTATATATTCGATGATTTTATTTTTTATATCAATTAAATTTTACAACGGTATATATAGTATATACCCAGGTACCAATGATACGCGCTACGTTCCTGAGTTAATCGCGCCTCTGGTGGCAGAGTCGCGAACTAAAATTTGAAAAGACTATATTGTATCGAAGTGTGGAAACAAGTGCGGGAAGCTTGTCAAAAATACAGAAAAAAATTTAACATACAAGATTATATACTGTTCAAAAATAGTAAGAATATTAATTTGAGCCATTGCGTGTTTATAATTTAAGAAATTGAAGTGAAGTTTGTGCGATTTGTTGCATTTCGATGTTAATGTGACTTTCTTCGATCTTTCGATTAGTTTCATTCATCACTAAAAAGCATAAATCGTGGATTATTGGATTCGTTATTTACCCGAAGGATATTATTTTTCCATAATTTATAAATCAAGAAAGATACTTTAAAGCAAAACGTGAAATCATTTCAACGTTTACCTTCGCGTCGATGTCGTACGATCTTTCGTACAGTACGTGTGTTTCGAAAGTTTGTTCAATTTTTCATTTAACGATGGTTATCTCTACGAATACGAAATACGAATTATCGTGTATAAGAAGATGATGGCGATTGGAGATTTCAATTCAGAAAGAAGTATGCTGAAAACTGTAAGTGCATTTCTTTATTTTCAATTATAAGATGGCAACCATCCATCGGTTACTGATACGAAATATTTTTGAATTTATATTCTTTTTTTTTCCTCTCTCTCTTTATACGGAGAGAGTTGTATATATATATATATATATATATATATGTGCTTTTATACTATTTGTTATCGTTAAACGAGATATTATATTTTTTTTATTGGCAAGTGATTGGATAGATTATACAATAATTAATATTTGATATTACGAAAATATACATATATAATATTTTGGGGATATATAATAGTTAGCCGTGTCTATTTATGATTACAAGATTTATTACGTTTTTGTTATTTACACAAATTCGTTGTAAGTTTTGGACAAGGGTCCAGAGAAACATTGCGGGATCTAGAGAAAACTCGCGTGTCCTTACGAAAAGAAGTTTATACAGGCATTTTTATCCCCAATGTCGCTATGAACCAATGCCACGAATACGACGAAACGACAACGCTCGTTTGTTATATATTCGTCGGATGTTTTTGATTTATGACGAAAGCTTTTTTATCCTATTGGTCATTCAAAATTATTGCACTTTACAAAAAATTATTATTAAATTTCTAACATATTGTGACGAAGAATTATTGATTATTTTAGATAAAAATTTATTTATCTTAAGGTTAGAAACTTAAGATTGTTCTGTCATCGCATAATCTCACGATAGATTAAAATTTTTCCCTTATTTATCTTTAATTCTGTTGAAATTTTGAACGATCGTTGAAGAAAAAAAAAAACGGATTCTCTGTAAATCGAATCAACATTTTTCTCCGCATATATATTTTCTTTTTCTCGATTTCTCGAATAATTGCTGTGTGATAAGTTACGAGTGTTACGTTTGCACGTCCATTCTTTCTTCTTTTTCTCTCCTCCCCCCCCCCCCGCCCCTCTGCTCTGTTTAAACGTAATTTTTTTACGATCTGTATACCCACCACCACGTTGGACCCAGTTACGCCAGTTTTTTTTTTTTCTTCACAAATTAAAACTAAACAAATAAAAAGAACGCTCCACGCAAAACACGGAAACATCGGTACCCTCACGTTTTTCGATTCTTACTTTTTTAAAACATCTGCTTCTTTTTTTTTTTTTCATAAAGATCAATTTTCCTATCGAATCGAAGGAAGGTACTGAAAATAGGTACTTGCAATTTTGACAACTGTGAACAATAATCGAGAGATGTTTTATCTCGTTTAGTTTTTAGAAAGAAAATGGAAAGTTCCTGCTGGCTAGGAAGGGTACCGATATAAGGGAGCAGCACCTCGATTCAATGGAAACTAGTTTACGGTTTAAGCGTTATAAATGGATTATACACTCGTTTATCGCCACACTCGCTGCGAGTGTCCCGTAGCCGAGAGCATTGCTCGTAATAATCTTTTTCTTTCAAACACCTTTTCAATCTTTGGTGCGAATCGATCGACAGTTTGTTGCAACATTTCTTCTCGCCTCGCGGCAACGGGACTCGCGTAACACATCGCGAAGCACATAGTCGCAATAACCGATGCATTCTATGCACGAGTTTGCCTCGATCGGTTGTTCGAACGCATTGGAAACTTGTCTCTGATCGATCAACCAGGAGGAGCTGGTCTCGCGTTCTGCCAGAAGAAACAAAGTTACGCGAATTGCAAAAAAGCAAAGATTCGTGGAATAGCACAGATCTGTTAAACATCTTCACGGTTTAATCGACCAAGCTCCACCACGCGCTTCAGAGATTATTTCTATGAAATTTGTTCAAAGAGAAAAAGGAGAGAAGAAGGAAAGGAAAGGAAGGAAAGGTGAGTGTATATAAATAAAAGTTGGAAAGGATTTGTCGCGTAAAAATCGTTTGATTCGTTGAAAAAGACTCGTCTCTCACTTCACTTGAACTTCGTTCTGCGCTGGTGATTAAATTATTAGAAGAGAGAGAGGATATTTTCGCGTGATGTGCGCCTCTGCGTTTAGTGCGGCCGCGATGTTAGCTAGGACAGCGTATACCGGACTAGTATACAATATGTATATAATATATATAATATAATAATAATAATATAATATATATTATATATTTATATATATATATATATTATATTATATATAGTTAATCCTAAAGATTCGTTTCAACTTGTTTCGAGCTAGGCTTCTCTAAAACTTCTGTTCAGTTGGATCCTATGAAACACGTGCTTCCTAACAAGTTCACAAGTTCTAACAAAGAGGTATTCGAAAGTTGAACAATCGTATATGAACGAGTGGTGTGAAAGCAAGATGGCAAGATCTGTTGAATACAAAAGAGATAACAAATTCATCGGATCGACGAAAGGTATATAATATCGATCACGTATTCAGACCTATCGTGCTCCTCATCGCCGGTTGAGCAAAAAATCTCTTGTAAAAATTCCATCTAAATTGTTCGTTCGTGCTTCCGTTGAGCAACGGATTATTCGTCGAATTTTCGTCTTTCGCCACGGCCAACTTCTCCTCCAAAAATTCGAATTGCTGTGTTCATAGAAAAATGAAAAAGCCGCATCTCCAAAGAAAGATACTCTAGTCGCCCGTAGCAACGAAAGGGTTAACAATAAACGTGGATCATTCGTCGAGCAGCTTTAACTGCTGTGACTGTACGCCGTGTTGGTGTAAGGTCCGCTGTAAATGGACGAGCCCGTTGTCGAGACGGTCTTGTGCCGCCTCTTGGTCAACAGTACCAAAATGGCCGCAACCACAGCCAGCATGAGGATCAGACCAGCGATCGCGATCCCGATGGCGAAGCTCCTTTGCGATATGCAGAAGCTGTTCGGGTCGTCGATAGTCTGCAACGAGTGGGAGAATTTTTAGACGGAGCGAATTTTCTCGGAAAACCATCATCGAATAATCGCTCTAAAACCTACCACGACCGTTTTTGAAATTTCCTTTAGAATTTCTTGTATACAAAGTCATATGACTTATTCTATAATTCGTAGATACAACCCATTTTTCAATATCCACAACTTTCTGCAGTCTTGTTTACGAATCCAAAAATCTCTTTCTGTATTATTAAGATACAAATGTTGTTTTGCAACGGTCATGGAAGGGTTCAGCGTTAAAGGAAGAAAGCACGTTGGAAAGAATGGCTTACCCTTTCTCTGAAGACATCGTCGGTGAAGTCCGACTTGGAGGCAACGTCTGACGCTTCGTTCACGTACAAGCCGCTGTAAACCTCGATGGTAGCCGGCGTCCCACCGTCCAGGCCCTCCACGCCTTTCACCACCGTGTTGTCGTCCACGGTGTCCCTGCGTCGTCTGGATACCGAGTTGCACGCAGGCGGCTGCAACGGGATAATCGATCAGCCGAATCTCTTTCAAAACAACAAAAGGGTGTATAAGATATATCTGTATACTGTTTTCACAGTATAGGATTACGTCTCTTTGTCCTTCTGGGATAGGGAAAACTGGAATTCTTATTTTACCGTGTTGCTGCATCCTCCGTCGTGTTTCACGCATAATCTGACGTTGCATTGATAGTAGACGCTCGCTGTGTAAGGGAACTTGTGCGCCTGGAAGTCGACCTTTGCCTCCGTTTTGTCCTCGTTGTACGTGAACTCCCCCATTATTTCACCGTCGACCGGGCATCTGCAACAACCGATCCCCTTTTCTTTATTTTTCTCGAAAATTTGCACGAAAGAGGAGAGAACGATTAACCCTTTGCGCTCGTATTTATTTTTAACAATGTTACTAATCAAGAAAACTTCTGGAATGTAATTATATTATATCATCAGGGATATCGATTATACCAAATTATAAAAGTTTAAATCAATTTCGATTATCAGAAATAATCATCCCAATAAAATTTCCTTCGCGTTTGATCACAACTTCGACCGTGAACAGTTCGAATCAATCGATTGAATTGATTCGGAAAACGAATTTTTTTCGATACGGAATAAAAATGAAGCAAAAATTAATCAATCTTTTAAAATTCATCGGTAAATGCTAAAGCAAATATACGACAAAACGAAACGTAGGATGGCGAATGGATGGCAAATATATCGATTTGCTCTGTTGAACGGAGAATTTCCTCTTCGATTCTCCTCCAAACGCGATCTATCTACTCGAATCGTTCTTTAGTGTCAGTTCTTAGACGCCTCCTCTCTCTCGACTGGGATCGATCGATTCTTCCCGATCGAAAAGAAAAAAGGAAAAAAGAAGAGGGATGATCATTACCCTTGGTCGTTTATGAGCCTCTGCTCGCCCCATCCCAACCCGTCCCGCACCAGACAGTCGGATATCTTGAGGCCGAACATCTCCTGTTTGTCGATGTTAATGACCAAGGTCAAGGGATCCCCGATCTTCACGTTTTCCGCCACTTGATGCCTCGTCGGATCCCCGCTGAAGATCTTCATCGTGCACCCCGGCATGGGAGCCGTCGCCTGTCGTAAAACGCAATTTATTATTATTCGTCCACCTTCTTTTTGCCGTGAAAAAACCGCGTCGACGACGCTTGCCCAGCCGGCTGGCGTGTAACCGCTAAATTGGAAAATAGACTCGCGTACAGGCCTCGAATGGTGTAATCAGCGTTTGATTCGAGGAGGGGAGGGTATCAAGCGATTTATAGCCGGCAATTGAACGGACGATACGTCTTATTGAATAAGGGATTTAGAGGAGAGAGAGAGAGGAGTGGTCGCTTACCTGGAGCGGTAGGGATTGCAGCATGGCCACGTGGGTTTGGTCGTTCGTCACCACTTTGTCCCTCGTTTGATATCGGCATCTCACGTGAAAACCCCTGCCCTGATTCGTGACCAGCTTGAGATGCGGCTGGACGACTATCGTGTTGAAGTACTCGATACCTCCGTCGTCCTGCGAACGAAATTTCAAGAAAAACGTCAAAATTTTTCCCCCCTCCCCCCCCCTGTCATATTAGGCTGCCTTTCTTTCGCTTTCCTCCGTTTTTTACAAAGTCTCGTGTTATCTCTTCGTTCGAAAATTGTTATATTTTTAATATTAGGCCCCCAAGATATTTCTCGAGCTGGGTTTTTATATTCCAGAACCGTTTGTCAACGGAATTTGCTCGATGAACGTGCGATGGAGGATGGAACGTTTCAATCGAACTGTAACAGCTTTTCTCGATATACATCGTTTTGCATTATCGAATGGTGGCCGAGAAATTAACGAATCGCGCCTTTCCTTTCAACTCCTCGCACTCCGGATGAATGACGCCACACGATTTCACAAATTAACGTATAAAACTCTTGTGTCTTAACATTTTACGCGTGTCTTTACGCGTATGGAGAAAGAAAATTTGTCGATAATTAAAGTTTATATTGTTTTGTGTGATATTTTAATATTTAAGATGCATCTTGAATTCGTCAGGGCAAGTATCGAAGATGAAATGTCGAATTCGATGTCTTTTCTGCATCTTAATTTTCGTTATTGTATATAGAAATAATTTCGTTACCATGCTTACGAAACTCAAAAACTTTGGAAATAATACATCTATCGTCAAACTCGGAATAAACGTAGTTCGATCTGTCTAATTTGAGATTAAAAAAGGTATTCTAAGGTATTCCATTCGACAGTTATATTATTCCACGCTTTATAAGAGGTTATAGGAATCTATTCGTGAAGCTTCTATCTTAAAAAAAAAATCAAACAAAAATAAGTAATCGTTCGAATTGGCGCATCAAACCTGGCAGATTTCATCAGTCCAACCGCAACGTTTTCGACCTTCGAAACGCGTACAATATATATTCGGTTTTCCGAGACAAGGCAAAATGAAGGCGATTCTTATCTTTCGATCCTTTCTTTCGATATCGTTCGCCGAGTCCGTTTCGGCGACGCGTTCCCCTCGACTGTCCTTGCACCCCCCGCAAAAACCGGACCGTTCGCCTCCCTTCTCGTCTCGAGCCGAGCGCCACTCTTCGTCGTTTCTTCTCCCCCACCGCAACAACGGGCCCAACAACTCGTTTCGTTTCAGAATCAAAAATTCAGAGAATCGAACAATTTATCCTTCCTTCCTTTCGAACGATGGAGCGAACCAACTTTATTATTTCAAAAGTAAATTACTCGAGACAATGTCGAACGAGTCGAGTGGAATAACACTTTTCCTTCAATTCATCGCCATTTAATTTTCCACGTCGATTTTAATTCTCCTTTTCGCGCATTCATCCGTGCTATCGAATCATTACCATTAACGCGGACGATAATGGGTGTAATTTGCAATCGGGGACACGCTTCCTGCTAGAAGAACGGACGGACAATAAGTGTAATCGAACCGTTCTTAGGGGGCAATTATCCTGTAAACGATTGCAGCCACGATTACGATGTCTCGTCGACCATTTTCCATACGGATCTTGCTTCGACATTTATCGAAGTTGAACCGATCGATTTCGTTCGTTATCTCGATCGAAAGAATAAGATGGTTGGCGCGTATAAATAGTATGTATAAGCGAGGAGTGGTGGAGGAGGCGAGACATTGCGAGGCGCGACCTTGGCTAACATCTTCTTCCGAGAAACTCGCAGCCGTTCTCCACGCGATATCATTATCGTCATTAACGCGGATTAATTGTCCTCCTCTCTCGTTTCGTATCGTTAGATCGTTAACGAATATATATATATAAAATATTATATCGTGATTTAAGTAACTAATCGAGATCTCCTGATGCAAAATATTCGAAGAAAAAGAAGAAGAAGAAGAATGTTAATTGGACGAGAGAAATAAGGAGAAAGAATAATAATTTTACGCGGAGGACGATGGGAGGAGTTTGGACGGGGCGGTGGCCGCTTCCTTTCTCCTCGGCCACTTTCGAACGAGGAGATGGAAAGGCGAAAATTCTGAAGGTACACCGTGTATATCGAGCAGGCAACGACCTTCGACGAAGCTCGCCGTCCGACCTCAGCAAGGATACTCGCAATCTGCGGTGCATCGGCCCTCAGCCTCGTCAGAGACTCGCTCACTTTACGTTTCGCGCCTGGCACCTAGCAACCAAACGGCCCACCAACGGTTCCAACGTCGTTGCCGACCCTCCTTTATTCGCAAAATTTCTCTCGAAATATAGAACGCGACTCATTCCTCCATTTATGGACGATATGATTTCTTTTTGTCGAGAATTTTATCCATTTTAGGGGCAAGATTATGCTACCCGAGTCGCCAATTTTTATATCGTATTCAAAATTTCTCTCCTTCCATTTACGGACAGGATTTCTCGTCGAAGGGATGAAGCCTTCGATACTCTGTTTGTAGGCAAGATTTCTCGTCAACGTGTAAAGATCGTTCGTGCGTTTTTCTTTTCTTTCAAACTGTGAACGAACGAACCCTTCGATCGGGAATATTCTACTTTATTCAAAAAATTCCTTTCAAAAAAGGAATATTATAACAAGATTTCTCGTGATCGCACCTTGAACCGCATCGTTGTAACTTTTACGATTATACGCGTAAAAATTTGTTTTGTTTCTTCAGAAAAAAAAAAAGGACACGCCACAACCTCTTCCACACACTCGGCTCACCGTTCATCTTGGCTCGCTGTTATATTATTTAAAGTTCACTGAAATTTCATACGTGATTTTATTACGTTAATTACGTTGATGCACGCTTCAAGCGTTTCGTAAACAGTCACGCGCAATTACGCATATAATTAAATATATTCGTTCAACCAATATAAACGATTTAAACGCGTAAAGATCGTGGACTCCCCTCGTTTTATTTCATTCCCAAAAATTTCTCTCGACGAAAAAGAAAGATACGACCCCTTCTATTCACGGACAAGATTTCTCGAAGGACTCCCTCCGCGTTCGCAAAAATGGATAACATCGCAACACTCGTTCCATTTCCAGACAAGATTTCTCGCGGTGGTCGACACACCGCGAATCGCGTTTGTCATACGATCGCCTCGAAGGGGATCCAACCCACAAAAAGATCCTCCTCTCCCTTTCTTCCTTTTTTTCTTCGGGATTGTATTCCCCCCTCCCCCCCCTCCCTCCTTCGATCGAGAGAGACCACCCAGACGAACGTGATGGATTTTTGCGACGCGCACTTTTATGCGGTCGCATCCTCTCGATCCACCCGTTGAGCTTATTATCCAACTGGGAAATTCCCGATGGCTCGGTTTCCTCGAGTTATGCGGTTCTTTACGGCGGGGCCCGAGCTACCGCGCTTCTTTTTACGGCCTCCTCCTCCTCCTTTTGCCCGTCCCCTCTTCTATTTATGCTCCGGGCATAAATAGATTCGAAGAAGGGGCTCGTTCGATAAGTTTGTTAGCGGTGGACGTTGAGGCGATTTTTGAAGATCGGCGTATGCCAGCACACCGTATTTAACCGCAAATTGTCGTAGGATCGTTATCGAAGGTCGATAGGTGTACACAAGTGTGCGGTTACGGAGGAGGATACTCGATTAATCCTATCCTTACGTAACGACACACCTGCCCGTCTTTATCGATCTTCGAATCGACGAAGAGAGAGTTTTCTCTTCTACACCATCTTCCTCGTTCCTTCCTCTCTTCGAAGAACCTAACTCTCTACGTTCAAACGTATTATTAATTCCAAGTATATATATACACGTTCGTGTAAATTAGAAATAACGATTACACGCGAAAGAAAAAAAAAAAAAAAGGAAAAAGAAGGAAAATCCTTGGTACGAATAATCAAACAGACAGTGTATACATAAGTATATAAGTAAGTAGGTAGAGATAGTAGGCAGTAGAGATAATATTTACTCTCGGGAATAGAGAAGAGAAGTAAGTTTCCTCTTCCCCCGCGGGGGAGAAATGCGGCCATTCTCTCACGGAAAGGATCACGGAAGAATCATGAATTAGCCGGCCGAGGAAAGGAGAAGAAGAAGAAGAAGAAGAAGTCGGCTCGAGTCTGATATATTCGATGCCCTTTACTCTCCCCTCCCACCGTTCGTCCATCGAGAATCCTGGAGGAAGGAAGGAAAGGATGTTGCAAGTTTTCGAGGTCGCCGATGCGAGGATGATGCCCACCACCTACGCGCTGCCCTCCTCTCTCTCTCTCTCTCTCTTCTCCTACTCCTCCTCCGCCGTAGGAATCGCGCGTAGAGGACACGTAGAGGAGAAGGGGGGGGCTCTCCTTCGTTGCGTGTGCATGCCTTTATATATATAGGGAGGGAGGGGAGGAAAGGAGATCCATCGTGGAGATGGATGAAAAGGGAAGAGGAGGAAAAGGAGCAAAGCGAGCGCGAACTCGAGAGAGGATTCTTTGAGAAACGGACGCGGGTCACGATGGAGAGCCGATGCCTTTTGCCACGAAACACTCGTGATGGACCGTGTGCTGATCTCGCACGCGAGAATCGATGGTGGAACGGGACAAGGATTTAGATTTCCGTCCCTATTATTTTTGTTTTGCTTCCACGATACGTTTATTTATATCCAAACGCTCGGAATTTCCTCTACTTGCCCCCGCTCAGCAGGAAGAGAGGTTGGCGGGGGAAGCGCTACGATCGTACATTTGGGCTTTTTGCGAGCAACGAGCTCGAGGTGGGAAGGTGGACGGTGGCGACAACGGTGGCTCGTCGCCGCCAAACGACAACCACTTTGCTTCTCGACGCGAGGAGCGCGCGAATTTCGAAACAATATCTGGTTCGAAGGTGGGGGATTCAGTTGCGAAGTACCGTTGCGCCCAAGTATCGTTCCGCTTTTGCCAACAAGAGCGAGCCATTGTTCCCTCGTTAGTCTAACGGTTCGAAAATTCTTCTTAAAGATTCTTCTATCATACGTGTGGAGGTTATCATTCATATCGTTGTTGGAGGTTTGTCAGAGGCGAGGAAACGAGGAGAGGAGTCGAGTCGAATTCCTACGGAACTCGGAGGAAGAAGAAATCAATCGAGGGGGATCCAGTTGGGATTC